GTAGTCATTCTGATGGATTCTAGATGATTGCTTGGGAAATCCTGCTTGAGCAGTCAACTTGCTGTCCCGCATTTGTGGATTCCATGTGAACGGCAAAATTGGGCAGGTAATATCGATCCAATTGTGATTAAACTCACGGTGTGAAGCGTGACATTCGTAGCTCAAGGGGGTAGAGCGTTGGCTTGGCTAAAAGGCCTCTCTCCTATGCGGGCTCGAATCCCACCGAATGCCGCGAGTTTTTTCACAACTGGATCAACTAAATTAACTAAATCTGCCAAACCAACTTAATAAATTAGTAAAGTCCGCGGTGCGATGCTCCGCGCACACCTATAATTTTTGCTTGAAACAATCTAATCCCAGCGGCCGTGGGAACCAAATTCAACTCTATTTTTTCACTTTACACTTACTTCTACATATTCCCTTCACTGCCTATCCTATTTCCCCACCCCCAAAACCAATATAACTACCGTTTCAGTAGGGCAAACTGCAGGGACTCCAGGTATATGAAGGTAACGTCTTAAATTATATTTGCCTGTAAAGCTAATTTAGCAAATATTTTTAATGTGCGATCTTTAACTGTCTGAGCCTACGCGACTATAATTATTTGACAGACCTAGAAATATTAATGTGCCTATATACTGGCAAGTACGATGACAGGGCTTTTTGTACAATTCAAGTTAATAGAGCATAGTATTAGTATGTTGTCTGTGTTTTGCGACTGAACATCAGATTTTTTTTCTATATCTTTATCTCAAGCCCACCTTTAAAGTCATTCTTCGCCCGACATTGGCCTATGCGGGAGTACCTGTGCCTTCTCTAATAAATATTAAAATTGAGGCAAATATGCGTGAACAGTCGCCTATCAAGGAAACTAGGAACATATTGGTGCAGGGAGACGGCCATTTTAGCTTTAATGACATCTCTTCGAAACCGGTTAGTTTCTCTTCCTTTCCATAGGGTTCATTTATTTTTGCTTAGGGAAAGATGTGCTTTAGATGGTTTACCATATTGACAACAAAAGTTTTATGTAAAATCCCTGATTGGCGTATTTTGTCAACGTAAAGGTTCGTCAGTGTTCCCATATGCTTTCTAGCATATGAGCTCTAGTTTCAAAGCTACCCGTTTTAATTTCCTAAGTAATTCATACGGAGCAAAGGTTTAAGGCCTGATAATTATGCGGTGCAAGGTCTGCGAAAATGTGTCTTCAGGCTTTTCAGTGTAACTTTTGCTGTCAGTTGCATAAGTCATTCGGGAGATCTCTACCGCTACCTATCCCCTGGCAGCTAGTAAATATTACGGGAATTTTCACCATTAAGTGACGAATGTCTTTCAAAATATGCGCGGCTCAACTGTAACTCACGTTTGGTGGGTTTTGTCGTATTCTGCTACGGGAAAAGGGTCGTTCGAAGTATCCAATCTTAAGTACTTTCTGTCCCCTAAAGTAATTCATTATGTACAGTCTTCTTTAGACACTTGTGGATGAAGGAAAGTTGTCCTTATCTTCCCGTCTGGCAGTGTTGTTACTTGGACGTCAAAGGAGGGAAACTGATTGTTGCCTTCTTCCACGCTTAACTAGATTTCAG